CTTCTGTAAGGCTGAGTAAACAACAACGAAAGCAAATAGAAAACCTTCCAAATGGAAAAAGATATTTGCATGTCATGAATTGGACAAAAGCTTGATAACTAGGATCTAGAGAGAACTCAAAATAATCTACAAGAAAAGACCTGACAATCCCACAGACCACTGGCAAGAGAGATGAATAGAACCTTCTCTAAAGAAGACAGACCAATGTAACAACATGTGAAAAAATGTTCATTGTCCCTGATCATCAGAGAAATACAAATCAAAACCACCCTGAGATATCACCTAACCCCAGTGAGAATGGCCCACATCATAAAGTCCCACAACTGCAGATGCTGGCATGGATATAGAGGGAAGGGAACACTTTTACACTGCTGGTGGGACTACAAAATAATACACCCTTTTTTGGGAAGGAAGTATGGAGAATACTCAAAGAACTCAAACTAGACCTTTCATTTGATCCTTCAATCCCATTACTAGGAATCTACCCAGAATCCTTTTATCATAAGGACATTTGCACTAGACTGTGTATCACAGTTCAATTTACAATTGCCAAAATGTGGAAATAGCCTAAATACCCACCAACCTAGGTATGGATTAATAAACTGTGGTATACGTTTACCATGGAGTACTATTCAGCCACTAAAAATGATGGAGACATTACATCATTTGTATTAACCTGGATGGAGGTGGAAGGAGCACATTCTTCTTCTTTTTTTTTTTTTGAGACAGAGTCTCACTATGTCACCCTTGGTAGAGTGCCATAGCATCACAGCTCACAGCAACCTCAAACTCTTGGGCTTAAGCGATTCTCTTCCCTCAACCTCCCAAATGGCTGGGACTATAGGCGCCTACCACAACCCCTGGCTATTTTTTTGTTGCGGTTGTCAATATTGTTTGGCAAGCCCAGGCTGGGTTCTAACCCACCTACCTCAGTGTATATGGCCAGCGCCTTAGTAAAGCATCACAAGAACATAGAAGCAAGAATCGAATGTACTCAATTTTAACATGAGGGCAGTTGATGAGCTAAAACAAACTGGGGGAGGTAGAGGAATGAGCAAGTAGAGAGAGGGGAGAAGAGAGGGGAATGGGGGTCACGGTGTAAAAAAATAAGTATATAAACAAACAACAACAACAAAAAGACCAGCCTGAGTAAGAGCGAGACCCCATCTCTAAAAATAGCTGGGCTGGCAGTGTGGCACCTGTAGCCCCAGCTACACGGGAGGGTGAGGCAAGAGGATCACTTGAGCCCAAGTGTTTGAGGTTGCTGTGAGCTATGATGCCATTGCACTCTACCAAGGGCATCAAAGTGAGACTCCATCTCAAAAAAAAAAAAAGCATTAATAATACTGAATTTTAAGACTTAGTACATGATGGCTCAGCGCCTGTAGCTCAGTGGTTAGAGCACTGGCCACATACACCAGGGCTGGTGGGTTTGAATCAGGCCTGGGGCCTGCTAAACAACAATAACAACTACAACTACAACAACAAAAAATAGCCAGGTGTTGTGGTGGTTGCCTGTAGTCCTAGCTACTTGGGAGTCTGAGGCAAGAGAATTTCTTAAGCCCAAGAGTTTGAAGTTGCTATGAGCTGTGATGCCACAGCATTCTACTGAGGGCAACATAGTGAGACTCTGTCTCAAAAACTAACAAACAAACAAAAACTCAGTACGTGAAAAAGAATGTAAAATATTTCATTAATAATATTTATACTGATTATAGTTGAAAAATAATATTTTTAATATATTGGATTTAAAAACCTACTATTAAAAAAATTTTTTAAAAGAATAATATGGTTTAGAATTAAGTGAACTTAGCAGGGTAAGTACTACAAGATTAATATATAAAAGCCTGTTGTATTTCTATGTGCTAGCAACAATTATAAAATGAAATTCTAAAAATACAATATTCAATAACATAAAATAAGAACAGATATCTAGAAATAAATCTAGCAAAACACATTCAAGACCCTAAACTAAAAATTATAAAGAGATATTAAATACCAAATGTGTGTATGTGTGTGTTTATGTAAATACATAACAAATATGTTCATGAATTAGAAGACTCAATAGTGTAGAGATGTTTATCTTTCCCAGACTAATCCATCGATACAGTGTGATTCCAAACAAATTCCTTGCAGAGATTTTTGTGTGGGGGCAAGAGGAATCAACAAGCTTATTTATACAGATATTTGAATGATTTAAGAAAAACCAAGACAAGCTTGATCAAGAAAAACAAAACTAGAGGACTCATGCTCCACATTTCAAGACTTACTCTAAATCTACAAAAATTAAGACAATGTGATGCTGGGATGATGAGTGTAACACAACAGTCTGGAAAAGAGCCTCACACACACGACATGACTGGTTGAATTCAGATCCTCTTTGCTGGTCTTTTCTCTAAATAATGCTTGAGCAATGGGCATTCTATGAAAAAATGTGCCTTGAATCCTGCTTCATAAATATACAAAAATTAATTTGAAACATATCATATGATATGTGAAAGTTAAAAAACTGAGAAAGCATTGAGTATATTTTCATAACCAGGCAAGTATTTCTTAAACAGATCACTGAAAGCACTAATCATAATTTTTAAAAAGACAATAAATGGGACTTTATTAAGAACTCTGTTTAGGCTTGGCGCCTGTAGCTCAGTGGCTAGGGTGCCATACACTGGAGCTGGAGGGTTCAAATTTGGCCCACGCCTGCCAAACAACGACAACTACAACCAAAAAATAGCTGGGCATTGTGGCGGGCGCCTGTAATCCCAGCTACTCAGGAGACTGAGGCAAGAGAATCGCTTAAGCCCAAGAGTTTGAGGTTGCTGTGAGTTGTGATGCCATAGCACTCTACTGAGGGTGACACAGTGAGACTCTGTCTCAAAAACAAAAAACAAAAAACTCTGTTTATCAAAAAATGCTATAAAGAAGATGAAAAAAGCCACAAAACTGGGAGAATGCATTTACAACATGTCTCATATCTAGAAGGTAAAAAGAATACCTGCAAATCAGTAAGAAGAGAGAAAGGATCCGATTGAAAAGACAAAGCACTCGGAAGACCACGTGCACATGGCTGACAGGCACAAGGACAGGTGCTCACCAGCTTCTGCACCAGAGATGTGAAAACTCAAACCACAGTGCGATTGCACTTCACACAAACCTGTGGCTAAAATTAAAGGCAGACACCAAATGTCAGCCCATGTGTGGGGCCTCAAGAAATCCCACATGTGGAGTGAGAACCAGCACGTTCCCTTCAAAGAAGTCTGTGACAGTGCCCTGTGCACATAGGTGTCCTCAGCGCCCTGTGCCCAGGTTCTTGTTGAAGAGAAACGAACACGTCCTCCCAGAGTGCCACTTGTAATGGCCCAGACCTGGAAACCGCTGGCCTGGCTGACTCGGTATTGGGCTGAGAGTGGCCAGACGCCCTCAAAGCAGGACGTGCTGTCGCAGTGATGGAAGTCAGGGTGGGGGGACCTGGAGGAGCCAGACGGACTTAGCTCTGCTGCGGGTGGCCCCACACCAGAGTGTGTCCCTGAAGTCGTGCAGCTGCTCCTCAGACCTGGTGCTATGCACGTTACTGCATTTTCCCAGGATTTACCACCAGGTGGCAGCCTCAGCTCCCACACAATCCTTGAGGCTGGCACATCCTGGACCTGGCAAGTCTCCCTCAGAGGCCCAGTGCAGGGACCCTGTGTTCTCACTCACTGCAGCTCTAGGCTCTTGGCTATCGAGATGGCAACACCCCCTCACAATCAGCCGGTGTGGGATGCACAGTTCCAGGGCAGCTCTCACGTCCTCCCAGGGGTCCCCAGCTGAAGTGTAGGTGACATAAGTTTACACCAGGATGACCTCGGACTTGCAGTCAAGGGTGGTCCTGCCCAAATGCCAACCTCAGCAGCATGTGGGTTGCTCCAGGTTGGGGCCTGTCCTGTCCACACAGCTGCCAGGGCATCCTTCCCACAGGGTGGCAAGTCCTTTCTGAGCCCCTGAGTCAGCAGGAGCCTGCTGGTCTCCTGGGAGCTCTGGCCATGACCAGCACACCTTGACTTGTGTGCACCACGATGGTCTGGGGCCAGTCTATGCCAGATAGGGATGTCACAGGGAACCATGTCTGGGGGCATTATGTCTTGGTCAGGCCAGACTGAACTGTTACCATCCTGGGCTCAGATATGGCATGACACCTACTACAGAGGGGTGCATGCCAGTCCAGTGGGACCCCAGGGAGCGTGGCCTTGCCTGCTGCATGGCATGCTACCTGGTCACCTGCACCCAGGGAGAAGCCTGTCACCATGGAGCCATGCCCCTCTAGTTCCCACTGCAGCACCACACAGTGGGGCCTCTTACACTGTCAGGGACACCCCAGCCTCATTTTTATCTTCTCGTTGTCCCTGCCACAGGAGTGAATGGAACACAAATGTCCCAGGTCCCTGAGGGCTCTGCTCCTCCACCCCCAGCCTGAGCCATAATGTGACTGTGCCACCCACCCTTTGCTGCAGCTGCCTCATTAGGAGGCTGGGGCCCCTACGCCCATACCTGCTCCCACAGCTCTGGATCTGCCCACATATGGAAGGTCCGATGGGCCTGGGGTGGCTGCCATTTCAGGGTGGGCTTTCCTCCCCCAGGCAGCAGTAATGTGCCCTGAGCTCTGGAAGCCACTGGAACAGTTTTACAAAGCCCCTCCTGTTGTTCCCTTACATCACAGTGACTTCTTGAGTCAGGCCCATGACTGCTATAACTGCAAAGCCACCAACGGGTCCTGGGGTCACACTGACTGCCCAGCTTGCATTGATGAAGACATAGATGGGGACACAAGCAGGCTTGCCTGGGCCAGGCAGCTTCCTAACAGGATCATCCTGTTGGGTAGCAGCACCGAGGTCCTGGGCCTGCCCCAGCCCTGTCCCACCAGATGGGACCTAGACTGCCCCACAGCCGAAGCACCTGCTTACTCAGTGAGGCCGGGCTCTGTGTCTCAGAGTCTCATGTACCTTCTGGATCTTGCTTTGTAGCGGCGATGCTTTCATCTCCAATTCAAGAAATTACTTTTCGCAGTGCCAGGCTTTACTGAACAAAATCACGTCTGTGAAGCCTCAGACGGAGATTGACGGGCTGCGGAACATCTGGATCATAAAGCCTGCGGCCAAGTCCCGGGGCCGAGGTGAGTCCCTTGCAGTGGGTGCTGCCTGTGCACCAGTTCACTACCCTGAGGCCACCAGCTTGGCACCAGCCCCCACAGGCAAGGCTCAGCTTGGGCTCCCGGGCTCTATGGCAAGGGAACAGGGTGCAGAATGCCAAAGTCAATAGGCTCAGGACTGGTGAGTGCCCAAGTGGACCTGGAGGAAGAGGTGTCTTTTTTTTTTTTGAGACAGAGCCTCAGGCTGTTGCCCTGGGTAGAGTGCCGTGATGTCTCAGCTCACAGCAACCTCCAACTCCTAGGCTTAAGCAATTCTCTTGCCTCAGCCTCCGGAGTAGCTGGGACTACAGGCGCCTGTCACAGCGTCCAGCTATTTTTTTGGTTGTAGTTGTCACTGTTGTTTGGCAGACCTAGGCTGGATTGGAACCCACCAGGTCTGGTCCATGTGGCTGGTGCCTTAGCTGCTTGAGCTACGGGCACTGAGCTGGAAGAGGTGTCTTAACAGCTTATGTTCTGATCACAAAGCTCATTAATTGGGGTTTCCTCATTTGTATTCATAAGTTAAACTGGTCTATGGTTTTCTTTGTTGTATTGTCTTAGATCTTGGCAACAGGCTTTGGTAGCCTGTAAACAGGTGGAGGACTTTCATCTCAGATAACAGTGGAATTCCTATCCCTTGGATTTATTATACAACTCACCTGTAAATACTAGGGTCTCTCTCAGAGGTAGAGCCTTAACACCTTTTAAATTTTGTCTGTAGTTTTCTACCTCATCTTCTTGAATTAGAGCTATAATTGTATTCTCTTTTTTATTCCTAGTAGTGAGTACTGTGTGTCCTAATTTAAATAGACAAACCAAAAATAACACCCCCAGGAAAAACCCCAGAACTTCAAGGTGGTTTTCTGATCTTATTCATATTTCCAAAAGACAAAACTTTTGGTTGTATTTTTTAATTTTCCTCAGTGATTTTTTTTCTTCTTATCTCTGACTTAAATGCTAAGCTTTTTGGGGAGCTTGAGACAGAGTTTCACTACGTTGCCCTCAGTAGAGGACTGTAGCATCACAGTTCACAGCAACCTCAAACTCTTGGGCTTAAGCAATTCTCTTGCCTCAGCCTCCGAAGTAGCTGGGACTATAGGCGCCTGCCACAACACCCAGCTATTTTTAGAGAGAAGATCTAGGTCTGGCTCAGGCAGGTCTTGAACTCATGAGCTCAGGCAATCTATCTGCCTCGGCCTCCCAGAGTGCTAGGATTACAGGCGTGACCCTCTACGCCAAGCCTGAAATTTTCTCTTGATATGGCTTTAAGCTGCTTCATCTTGTTTCTGTTACTTAATATTGTCATTTTCCTTTAGCATCTAATAGGTTTTTACTTTAGTTTGGATTTTGTTTGCCTCTTAAGTTATTTTGAAGAGTTTTGTTCATTTAAAAGAAATTCATAAGTGGGATTTTTATGTGATTAAAAAAACTATTAAAAAATTATTGCATTCAGCCCTAAACAACTGTCCTGAAACACTGTTTTCTGAGATGGCTCGGCACCTGTGGCTCAAGCGGCTAAGGCGCCAGCCACATACACCTAAGGTGGTGGGTTCAAATCCCCAGCCCGGCCCGCCAAACAACAATGATGGCTGCAAC